TTTCATTTTCAAATATAGTTGTAAATTAATTTGTTTATATCATTAGACAGTCTATTCAATCATTATCAAAGTTGGAAAGAAATATAGGTGTCAGCACAAGTTTTCTTATTTAATTCATTTCAACTTAGAAATGCTTACATAATGATTAATCAAACGTTCAAAATCAAATTCGTGCATGATGAGTTGTAATTAATGTATTTATTTTTTCTCGTTTACAATTTTTACATGTTCAATGAATAATTAAATTGACTTACAGGTTGATCATCTGAGGTACCAAACCATTCATCGGTTCCACCAGATCCTCGCCACCCGTCAAGCTGCACGGTGTTTCCTGGCCAACGCGGAGTACCTCCACCGCCTCTGTGCCCTCAACTCTCTCTGGTTGGCCCTCCCTCGACAAGAATGAGAAAATCCCTTGCCATATGCACCTTTTAATCTCTAGACCTCCTAATTAAGAATATTAACAGCTTTTCGCTTTTTTATTGTTTTATAGATATACAGAGATCATAGATCAACTAAATTAATACTTTTATAAAAGTAGAAGTAATGAAACTTCATTTCCTTTGTTTTTCTCTATTTTCAATGATGGTGTTGTGGTTTGACCCAAATTTTAGTGGGTATTAGAGTCTAAATTGGAGTGATTTTGAAGAGATTAAAATTACGGATCGGAGGAAAAAGTCGCCACATTCTTGCAAGTCTGGCACTAGCTGGACGCTCGAGCGAGCCCGGTAGAAAACAACCCGAGACTCGGTCGCTTGCCTTGCGCTACTTTGTCGCTCGTCTATCGCCCGCATGTCGCTCGCCCCTTTTCGTTTTTTGATGTGGTTTTGAACTCGTATTCTTCTACAACTTGTTCTCTATGGTTTATATGTATATATTGCACGACTTGTATAGAAAAAAAGAGATTCATACAACATTTTAAGAGTTTTAAATTTCAATTGAGTGCATTGAGATCTTGTGGATTTTTCCTCATCCGCCCGTGGTTTTTTCTCATATTGGGTTTCCATATAAATCTTGGTGCTTATTTTCTTCTTGTTTATTTCATTATCGTTATTATCTTGTGATCCAAATTCATAACAAGTGGTATTAGAGCAATTTTAATATTTTTTTTTTGGTTCATAATAAGTGGTATTAGAGCTAGGTTGATTCTTTTGCATGGTGACAATGAAGTATGATATCCCATTGTTGGATAGAAATACAAGATTTACCTTATGGTAAGTGAAGATGGGAGTGGTTCTAGCACAGATGGATTTGGAGGAAGCCGTACTTGGCTTTGATAAGATGCCTGCTACCTGGACGTATGATGAAAAGTAGCGTATGCATCGAAAAGCTCAATCTCAAATTCGTCTACATCTTTCAAATCAAATTCTTCAAGATGATCTAAAGAAAAGAAGTGTCGCTGTGTTGTGGTTGAAGTTGGAGAAACTTTGCATGACAAAGAAATTGACTAGCAAGCTACACTTGAAACAACGCTTGGATTCTCACTGGATTTCTGAATGTCCTTCATTGGATGATCATTTATCTATGTTCAAAGAAATTGTGGCCGATTTAGAGACATTAAAAGTCAAGTATAAAGAGGAGGACTTGGAATTGATGTTGTTGAGTTCTCTGCCATCATATGTGACTTTTGGAGATACTATTCTCTATAGTTGGGATACTTTCACCGTGAAAGAAGTCCATGATGCTTTACTATTTAAGGAGAAAATGAGGCATCTTGTTGGAGGATTTGGGAATCATGCTGAAGGTTTGGTTGTGCGTGAGAGAAATCAAGATAGAAATCTTGACAGAAATATGAGTGGCAAATTGAAATCTAGACATGCTAAGAAGACATGTCACTATTGTAAGAAAAATGGTCATATTAGAGCTGATTGTTATGTCTTGAAAAATATAAATAAAGCTGATGGTGCTACTGAGAAAGGGAAGCAACCTTTAATACAGCAGAGGTTGATGTTGTGAAAAATGAGCAAAGTGAATGAGAGCTTCTTGTAATTTTTGATATAGATTCCAAACCAAGTGAGGAATGGGTTCTTGACTCAGCTTGCACTTTTCATGTGTCCCAATAAGGACTTTTGTCAACTTATGAATGAGTTTTGAAATGTGCAGTTATTATGGGAAAACGCTCCTTGCAAAATTATCGGAGTTGGTACTATCAAAATCAGAATGTTCGATGGGGGCTATCAGAACACTTACGGATGTAAGACATGTTCTAAAACTAAAGCGAAATCTCATATCTTTGAGTGCACTTGACTAAAGGGTTATAGATACACTAGTGAAGGTGGATGAGAAGTGTAGTTTATACACTTATTTTGACCATAAATCATGATATTTTATTATCTTT